CCGGTGCCTTTAATAGATTACTATACAGTATTGGTTTTGCTCGTTATTGTAATTTTCATATCTTTGTCTTAAAAATATTTTTTTACTGAATCTATTTAAATAAAATTTATCACAGAACTGCTAATAGCCATAATCTTATATTAACGTGGACATAACAGCATGGGGTCGATAACATGTCAATAGATGAATATCCAACGTACCCACAAATAAATTTTCGTAGTCGGTTAATATATTTCTTTCTGTGGGGTATAAATTGTTATAATTTACCACAACACTTCAACTGTAGTTACTTAAACACATTTACTATTATTCCACTGCTTCGGAAAAGCAGATCGTTTTGTTTTATCCGTCTTCTTCACATCCTTAGGGAAAATCATAAAAAAAACTTCAGTAAGAAAAGCAATAATTTCATGTCATGTATCATAATAATCACAATAACTTATAAATCTTATTTTATATGTCAACACTATAGAGTGCATGATAATATATATACACAAAAATGCAATGGAATTATTGATTCATGAATCTATCACTAGTCTAATATATTTGTTTATGCAGTAATAATTGCATGGCATAGTAGTTTCCTACAATTTCGTTATTTTGATTGGCCGTTGCACTTCAAAAGTTATTTTTTTTACGTATAACATGCAACATCTATGACTGCGTGTGCTCTCCGTTAAAATTTCTAAACAATGTTTTGGAAAACAAATACAAGGTTTAATGTATTCGACGTAGTTTCATTATTGTAGCATATATATTAGTTATAATAATAGTTGACTCTTTCTTTTAGTAGTTTTAATTGGTTGTCAAAGCTTTATCATGCACTCATTTTTAATATGAAGCGCTGAAAAGTGCTTCGATCAACGCTTTTACACCAAAAAAAAATACAAAAAAGCCCTTTTAATTCTTAAATGCTATTCACGTTTTATGTGTATTCTGTGTCAATCAAGGTTACAAGAGCGCAATTATTCGTAATGTATTTTCCATAGGGTACCAGTGGTGTATCGTATTTTGTTTCTCAAAGACTACACAAACTAGGAAAAAAACGGGTAGCAGTTCCTGTTACTAGAAATGCCAGTGTTGCATAACAACCAAAAAAATACATATGGTCGTGCGGCAAAAATTGACCTAAAATGCAGTTGAAAAAGATCGTCTATTTTTTTCGCTTAATTAAAAAGACATATCTTTAATGGCTCCGACGTGCAGAAATGAAAAATATTTTCTATACTTTGTAAGATGTGAATTTGATTTTCTGGATTTTTTAAATCTAATTGGATAAGCTTTCGATTAAAATTAATTCCAATCCTGTATCATCCAGTCAGAAGCCGTACAGGATTCTATTCTGAGTACCATCTTTTGCCGGTAAAATGTAAACAAATAATTGAACTCTTGTAACCTCAAAGGTCTTGTTATCTTATTTTACAGAATTTTCTATAAGTAGTTAATATTTGATGTGTCATATTACCCAAACGTAGCCAGTAAAGCAATTAAAGTTAGTCTTCGAGCAAACATGCTTGTGCTAATGATAAGTACATATATAAACAAATAGATAAATAGACAAATACAATTATTATAATGGCATAATTTTAACAAATTTGTAATAAAGTAAACGATTTTATTCCCAGCCTTTATTATAGATTCTTTCTTATTTCTCAAAGGGATGTAGCGAGAGGATGTGTATTTGTTTAATTTACCGTGAATCTCTCTCTGACCGGTATTACTGACAAAAGGCGACAATATCTAGTCCTCAGAGAAGCATACTCATATTATTGTGGTGGAGACATTATGGAAATATGAATAAATATACAAATTTTGTAATGGCATTTCATAATAATATCTTTAATAGGAATATAGCAAGATACTGGTGAACGAATTGAAACAACAATTCCGACACCACATTTCAAATACATGAATAAATATACATGCAAATCTCAGTGATGCTGTTTTGAATTTCGTTTTTTCGAAGAATCTGGTTTTTCTATTTAAAATATAATGCATTTAGGAGTGATTATTTCACTGAGATTGATACTTAAAGTCATATGAAACGAGTGACTGGTGGAAAATAATGCTTATCCAATTCTTGAACCAACGCATGTATATGTTGTGTACAAAATTTGACTAAAATTCACTTATAACTTGTACAATAATTTATAGTATGAATTTTGTTATAAAAAGCATTGATACACACTTTAAAAATATTATTCAATGACAAAACAATAAACCTTATTTACAAAATACAAAAATAGTTCTGTATCATTTGTTTGAGCATATGAGTGAATTATGGCATCGGAAATAGTATTAACATCAAAGAAACCCCTGACCACCAGTTTTGAAAGCTTTTTAACTGTTTCACGTAGCGAAAGTTGAAGCTCAGCGACCGTTGTTGCGATAAAGATAGGTCTTTAACAGCTTCAATTTGATTTCTCGACAAGCATCCTGTTAAAATTCCTACAGCTGTTCCAATGCAGTACCCAAATTCTCCAGATTTAATAATTACATCTAAGATATTTCGAAGATCAGTTGGGGCACAATCATACTGAGAAATTAGTATAATGACATATTCCCCACAGCAAGTTCTGATAATTTCCGTTACGTTTTCTTGGTTAGATATTCGGTTTGGATCTGTTGGCCAGACAGCGCACACTTTCTGGCACGTATGATTGGTGTTTCAACGTCAGTGTCATCCTGATTGTCACTCGGGCCAATTTCTATTATACTACCAGAGTTGTCACTGGGGTTAATTTCTATTTTCTTGAGAAAAAAGTGTGTGTACATAAGTTTTATAATAAAAACTAGCCATTTAGTTATGGAAAACATATGCATCATTTGTTTTTAATTTTAAGTTTCGTATGACTTTAATGTGGTAGTATTTCAGCTAGTATAACGAAAATTATCAAGTTATGTTCAATATTCAGTCAAAAAAAAAAGAAAAAAAGAACCTGTACTAATAGCTATATCACTATCACTTGATAAGCACATGCACGTTATCCCCGTTAATCGATTAAGGTGGCTGGGGCGTCTTTATAAAAATCCATAGATTTTTTTAATAATTTGTCAAAATGAAGTTTTGGTCATGCTTTTTTCAAAAATATAATAAAAAGTATGGGTCACCGGACTTTTTTCCACCCTACAGGTTGTGCAAAATTGTCAGATTTTGTATAGATTATGCATGGAAAATCCAATTTTGTGTGATAAAAAGAAAACTACATGATAGGATTTTAAGATTAAATGTGAGAAGATAGCTCTTGTAACATGCTTTCAAATAAAAAAAAATGGGGTCACCGAACTTGTTTTCTTGCTACATATTAAAATAGGTTAATTCACAACACTTTTTATTGAAAAATAACTCTATCTGAGTTATCTCCCCTACTATCTGAGTTATCTCCCCTTATTTGGCAAAGTTGAAAAAAAAATGAATCAAACACAAATATGATGTTTTTTTTTAGAAATTACGGCCGTAAATATGATGAAACACATAATTTTCTATATTTACATCAAAAGTCTTACACATGAATTACAAACTATTCTCAAAATTTGCACATTTCATTTAAGATCTAGACCAACTGTTATCTGCTACTTCAAAATCAAAGATGGAGGAAGACACCCGAGCCACCTTAATTGGACATCTCACACATTCGGTGAAATTTCCATCATCCTCGGGACTTAACCTTTAAACTTTAGTACACGTAGCGGATCTTGTGTATATTCAGTGATTTTTTTAATTTTCGGGTTGGAAATCGAAAGTTATTTTATTTCATTTCTATTTCTTTTTCTAAAATACTGTTAAAAAAACCGACAATTTGGAAATAAATATTTCTATTCCCTAGTCACCCTTGGGGGCATTTTATAAATAAAGGCATACACAGTTTTTTATTGATTGATTGATTGTTGGTTGCTAGCTTAACGTCCAGTGGCAATAGTTTTTTATTGAAGTATAGCTTGTATAAAAAATTGCACGTAACCTAATAAAAAATTGTTTTCAACCACAAACATTCAATATATATTTGGAATTATTAGGGTTATTTTTGAATAATAGAACAAAGTCAGTTATTTTTCTTCAAACCTATTATGCTATTATGTTTTCGGCGGTAAAATAATGTTTTTATATTCGTTTTTAAGGGTTTGGGGGTTCTGCTAAAAAGCGACAAAAATATCGTTTTGGCGTGCTACCGGTAAACGACAAAAATGTCGTTTTGGCTCCAAAAGGGTTAACTTTAGAGAGTCATTATTGACCTTACGAATTGGAAATGCCGTAAATTTGCTCTAAATGCTTTGGTTTCAGAGAAATAAGCCAAAATTTGCATTTCACCCATATGTTCTATTTTTAGCCATGGCGGCCATTTTGGTTGTTTGGCCGGGTCATCGGACGAATTTTTTTTTAAAATAGATACCCAATGATGATTGTGGCAAAGTTTGGTTGAATTTGGCAGAGTAATTTCAGAGGAGAAGATTTTTTTAAAAGTTAACGACGGCCGACGGACGACAAGTGATTAGAAAAGCTCACTTGGCCCTTTGGGCCAGGTAAACTAATAAACATGATATATAAGTATACAAATATAAAAATATAAGTGTGGGATTTGCGCATTGTTGAAGGTAGTAGGGTGACCTATAGTCGTTTATTTCTGTATCATTTGGTCTTTTGTTTAGAAGTGTCTCATTGGCTACCATACCACATCTTCATTTGTATAATACATATATCATACTTAAACAAATATTACATATATCATACTTGAATAAATATAATGTATATCATACTTGTACAAATATTACATATATCATACTTGAACAAATAAAAAATGTATTACATATATCATACTGGAATAAATATTACATTATATATTACATATATCATACTGGAATAAATATTACATATATATTACATATATCACACTGGAATAAATATTACATATTTCATACTTGGACAAATATTACACATATCATACTGGAATAAATATTACATATATCATACTTGAATAAATATTACGTATATATTACATAAATCATACTGGAGTAAATATTACATATACCATACTTGAACAAATACTACGTATATCATACTGGAGTAAATATTACATATATTATACTTGAACAAATATTACATATATCACATATATCATACTGGAATAAAATTACATATATCATACTTGAAAGTTGAATAATTATGTTTTTCTATGAACCAGCAACCGTCCATTACAAAATACGACTACTCAAATACTTGGGAAATTATATATAACAAATTAATTCATCTATTATTTTATAAAAAAAAATATGTTTGAGATTGAATATACTTTTAACCGGCTTTTTATGTTCTAAAAAATTGCAAGTTGTGGCAGTCATGTTAGTGGTGTGGTTTACCACTGTAGAGCTCTTAGAACTCCTTTACTGCAAATTATCAAGTAGGTGTCACTTGAATCTTCATGATTACAACTTTCCTGTTCTTCTCCATTAAAGACAGGGAAGACCAACATGTTTGTTTTATCCTGCAATCAGCCAACTATTGAACAGATGACAGGAACACAAATATCTTTTTGCTTTATTTGTACATGTACAAATAAAGTCTCCTGTTACCCATATTGAGCAAGTGGTTATGTGGATATTTCTTTTTTGTGTAACAGTTCATTTTGGAGTCCTCTTCGCGGTCCGCGTTTAAACTATGTCGATTTCTTTGAAAAATTGAAAACAGTGATTTGGATTTTCAAAGTTTTCAAATTTTAGATTTTTGAAATTTTGATCAAAGTTTTAAAATATCAAAACTCCAAATTTTTGAAAATTTTATATATTTTGAAATTTTCACCAAATAATTAGAATTTTAAAATTTCAAATATCGTTTTTATATTTGATAGCTAAGATATTTGATCAAACTTTAAAAGTACTTAACTTAACGTGCAGTTTTGATTATTTCGGTTTTTGAAAGTTTGATTTTTTTCAATTTTTGATTAAAATATCAAAGATAGAAAAGGGGCGAAAAGAGGGGTACATGTAAACTGCGAAACGGAATAAAAGCGGAACGAAACGAATAATTCAGAACTATTTGGTTTTCCCAGCGCCCATCATTTAGGAGTAACAGTGAAAACTGACCAACTCGCAGTAGGCCAAATAGTATGGTAGGGTTGCGTATGTATATATTTCAACTGAATTTTTAGCAATAAAACGCCTCGATACACGTGTATTATCTCAAATTTGAATTCATTTTTTGTTTTGCTTTACTACTTCTTTATACTATCTGCAATCCTTGTCGGCAGACGAAATCATTGAATGTACATTTTGAACGATAATCTTTAACCTTTGATTAACTATTTCGGTTATTTATAAATTGTTGGCCTTCAAATATTCGATCTTCAAAGGTAGATCAAGAAAAGCTCTTCGGACGCAATCAATTTCTCACGTTTTGTTTTCATTTTTTATCGATTGCATGACGATCGTATATTGCCTTGTATCATTGGTTTCAGTGCACGAGGGGCTTCAATAATAGTACATTTTTCAAGTGCGGATCAACGAATTTGAAAAGGTGGGGTTCTAGTCAGGGATCGACCATTTTAACTTCAAAAGGAGGGGGGTATGGTTTTTTTTTCCTAAAAAAATATTATGATCCCTAATTTGATGATAAAAATATTCTGTTCAAGCAGAGAACAAACTTGTAGTTTTAAATTTTGACCCAAATAATTTGATTGATAGCGTTGAAAAACTTATAATAATAAAATTGTTCGTGCGAAAAAAAAAAAATTCTCACATCGACAAAAAACCATTACCCTCCCCCCTTTTGAAGTTAAATGGTTGCTCCCTTATACAACGTTTGGACTGATGCTTGTAAAAAGTATATGCATTTATCAGATAATATATATTTAGCTCCATTAGGGGTCCACAATTGTTTTTGAATAGTTGGTTTGTTGCAAGGCAACATTTCTGTCCCTATCCTATATACCTTCATTTTCCAGTGGCATCTAAATTTGCCGATCTTCATCCTGAACAGACTCTTACAGGACCTACCTGTTGTATTTATTGTTTATTTGTTATCGTCCTGAACATGCATGAAATATTTGCCACCGGCAACAAACAATCAATCATTTGAAATAGGTCTTGTGTATACAAATTACAAAGAAACTTGGGTTTCAATTCCCTCGGGCAAAGTATCCCTTATATGTTTAACTTTCATTTTAGCCAAACACCTCTTCAATTGTTTCAGTTCTTATTTACTTGACTTTCAAATATTCAGTTTTCAGCGTTCTGTATGTAAGTGCTTTACAAAAAATTCAGCGTATTACATTGTCCTGGTTTTTCGAGAGCAACATTGGTGTATGGCCAAAATGACAAAATCCATCGTGCAATTTCTTTACACGCCCCATTCTGACTGGACGTAGCTGCATACTTGTACTTTTATTTTGCTCAATGTTGGTTGTCGTACGATAACTTAAAAATGCGCAAATTACAAATACGGAATTATCCCTTGATACAAACATATCCCGTTTCTTTTTAGTTGCTATTTAAAAAAAGAGGCGGATTTAGGGGCCGCCGACCCCGAACGGAGCTACATATACGATAAATGCATATCCTTTTTACAAGCATCGGTCCTAATGTTGTCTAACTAAGCCCCCTAATTTTCAAATTCATGGATCCGCACTAGAAAAATGTACCATTATTGAAGCCCCTCGTGGAGGTATCAAAGTCAAATATAGTGTCACCTTAGTGACAATATTTATATTTCCGATTCCCAAATAGATAACCATCTCGATTGGTCACTTCAACTTGATCATATGTTTATCGTTGATATAAACTTTTTAAAATTATTTCAAATTACCATTTCAAAATGCTGACACCTACAAATGGATAGATGGGCGCTTAATGTACAGCGGCAACTATTACATTAATATGCAGGATTGAAATAATGTTTATGGTTTACGTTTATATGGTATGAATGTATTCAGCCTCCAAGTTTCTTATAATTGATCTTACTCTAAAATTCAGTGTATATAATGGGTAGCAGTGTCAAAAAGATATCAACAACCTTCCACATTAATATTTGTGGCTAGCACAACGTTCATTGCGACACCATAATTTCAGTATTCCTTCCTTATCAATACTTTGAAATGAATTCAATGATACAAGGCAAAATATGATCGTCATGCAATCGATAAAAAATGAAAACAAAACGTTAAATATCGCATGCGACCGAAGCGCTTTTCAGGGTTTGCCTTCATCAGGAACGCTCAAAAGTTGAATATTTGAAGGCCAACAATTTAAGATAACCGAATAATTGATACATTCAATGATTTCATCTGCCGACATGATTGCAGATAGTAAGAAGTCGTAGAGTAAAAAAAGAAATCAAATTTAAGGGAATAAAAATTAAATCATCTTGTTTAAATAGGTTTATTATTATTTTTTTTTTTTTTTGCAAAAGATGCAAAACCTTTAAAATTTCAGGATACTGTTATCTCATGATGTCCAATTTGTTTTATAAAAAAATCGACTTCTTCTTTAAATTAATTTTTTTGCAATTAGAAATGAGTTGATATATTTTGTGCTTTTTATTCCTAACATAGAATGATCATCATCAAAAACGTGTTTCTAGTTTTAAAATGAATTCTCCGCTTTTGAGAAATATTTATTTTGTTATCCAGTTTTTCACTACTTACAACTGTCTGCCTCTGGTTTTATTTTATACATTACGTTTTAAGTACCAGTAACTGTTCATTAGGTCTTTCCACTATTTTGTGGAAAAACCTTAGGCTTTTGTATTTGTTCGGATTATTTTTTTTTCTTCTTCCGCCAAATTTCAAAACTTGTTTTGTGGTTTCGCAAGATGTCACTTAGATTTTTTTCATATGATATCGAACAGTTATTGCGCTTTTGAGACTGACCCTGTTTAGTCGAAGATTTGTTATTGTACGAGTTATCTCCCCAAACGCTGTTTTCTTTGTTGTGAAATCTCCTCCGTAACCGTAAAAAAAAGCGACAAATTTATTTTTCTAAATTGCTCGTTATATCCTCAGTACGATTTGTCAAATTTTAACCGAATCAATTCATAGACTCCATATGACAGTTATTTTCCCTTTTGAATTTGACATAAGTGATATTTCAATGTATCAGATGAATGGTAAGTAATACAGACCTAAGGTACGTGTATTTGAGGTCCTTGGTTCTTAAAATAAATTTGAGGTCAAAGTCAAAGGTCAAGGTCATTTTCTAAATTTTGACTTCTCATTGTTCCGATATCTTCTCCGTAACCGTAAAAGAAAGCGATAAATTTATTTTACTAAATTGCTCGTTATATCCTAAGGATGATTTGTCAATTTTAACCGAATCAACGTACTTTAACTTCATATTTATACATTATAAAGCCATGGGACTTTTGCATAAGGTTGCAAGCCATATGACCTTGAAAATTCCAACCGGAAATGACCTTACGTAAACCGGAAGTAGCTATTTTTTGTACTTATTTAAGGTGAAAGTATATAGAACCAGATATTTTTGGAATCAGTGTCAAGTAAACTATCAAATATTAACGGAAATTACATTTTTCAAACCGGAAGTAACATATTATCTCCCTTATTTCAAACAAAAGTGTATAGAAACCATATATTTTTGGAATCAGTATACATTAATCTATCATATGACACGTTAAGTGACATGTTAAACTGGATCTTATTATTTTCATATCAAATATATCATTTTGGGTGGAAAGACCTTCAATTGTTCTCTGAACAATTGGTTTTTAATTTCTTTTTGTTTGTTTCCTTTCGTTTTGTTTCGTTTCGTTCCGCTTTTATTCCGTTTATAGGTACCCCTCTTTTCGCCTGTTTTCTATTTTTGATATCTTAATCAAAAATTAAAAAAAATCAAACTTTCAAAAAGCGAAATAATCAAAACTGCACGTAAAGTTTAGTACTTTTAAAGTTTGATCAAATATCTAAACTATAAAAACGATATTTAAAATTTAAAATTTTTAATTATTTGGTGAAAATTTCAATATTTCACAAAATTTCAAAAATCTAAAATTTTTAAACTTTTAAAATTTTTGAATTGATAAGTGTTACACGGACCATATACCAATGGAAGTATGTTCTCAATACTAACGGTATTGAAGACTTGATCCCTTTGATAGGCCGATAGTCTAAATACCACAAGTTAAGATAGTCGGTAAGATAAATTCGTTACATAGTGTGCTAGTGACCTAATACGATATATATGGGGTCAGTAAAATTCAATATGGGGATTCGAGCTTTGCTCTCACCCCATATGGAATTTACTGACCCCATATATATCGTATTAGGTCACTAGAACACTATGTAACTAATAATCTCTGTAATTTTCTAATACCAAATGACTATATAAGTAAAATTTCTCAGTACAATGAGTATAAAAAAATATGATATTAATTTTGGTATGTCTTTATAAAATTATTGCAATGGGTTGTTTTATTTATCAGGACTGTTTTTTCCAATATTGTTCAACATCTTAGGTAAACAGGCAAAAACTATGCATCTGGTCGTTATAAGCTGTTGCCCCTTAGGGGGCGTTGGGTATATGAGCTAGCTAACTAAAGGTTCTTTAATTAAGACAGCAACCTGGTAACACAGGTATTGACACTACGTATCGGATATGAGTGTACATACTTTAAATACGACAAACAGTTATTTGTTTTATAAAAAGCTGTATGTATGGTACAATACAATCAGTAATTGTCTATCTAAATATAAAATGTAAAAAGATATTTTACATCAATAACAGTATAAATAAGGAGATGTAGTATGTATGACTGACAGTAAAACAAATATTCAGCAGAGACAAAGGGGTTAATTAATTGTTGGTTACTTAACGTCCAGTGACAAATATTTCATGCATGTTCAGGAAGAGCAAATGAATAATGATGTTAAAGATGTACTTAGGTGAGATTTTGGAATATGTGACAGATGTTAGGCATCCTTGTTTTTTTCTCTCCATACGATACAAGGTAAATTTTTTTGCCCCATAACACCCATTTATTTTCTCATATAAGACTTAATAGCTCATATAAGGTCATTTGCCAACATTTAAGCAGATTCTTGATTTCTTTTCTTTTGATTTGAGACCCAAATAGTACCAATGCAAATATAAGGTAAAAGTCCGAGTCTGCATTTTCCCGCAATATTTTAAAAATCAAATATTTCGAAAAGGAGCGCCATGACCTGTCAATATTTTTAGCTTATTTTGTTCCTTAACTAATGCTCCTCCGACTTATAGTATCAATTATAAATTCTTGATTTTATTTAATTTCATCCTTAACTTCCATATTGCACTGTAGTATTTCTTCAATAATTAACTACATTCTGCTACGTTTAGTTTATGTTGATAGCGAGCTCCGTGCAATGAATGTTTCCGTGCCGGATCTATTTTCCTTTACTACACCAATTAGTGTAGAGTAATTTGTGGATCGGAGCCAAAGAGTTTGTGGTTATAGCGTACTGCTGTTTAGTACGGTGGATGCTGTACGTCTGCTCGTTCTTGTCCTGCTGTATCCACTAAAAGACATCCTTGTTTTATTATACAGACTTAAAACACGTTTGTTACATACATACGAGACGAATATGAACACACCCTGTAAAGCGTTCAAAAGTGAAACAATCGTTGAAAAGGCTGAAACTGGTATGAAAGAATCGATAATTTGAAAAATCCATGTAATTCCAGTTATAGAAAATAATTTGGCATACACGGTGAATTGAATTTGATTAAGATTCATCTGAGAATCGTTTTTCAATTTTGGTCTTTTTGCTATTTTATAAGTTGTCGCAATGAAGAAGAAAATATTAGTACAGCAAACGAGACTTATTGGAACTGCGAATGTAACTACATATGCGATTGGTTGGTCTAGAAAACAAATTCGACTTCCGTATCCAATTGATGTAACGCTTGAGAAACTTGTTACAATAATATTTAATGAAACAATTATAGCAGGTGTCCCATACGAATATATTATGTTATTAACCAGTCTAGATGTTTCGGATATACGGATACCAGTTTTGCTTGTAAACACTCGGTACATATGGAAAGAACAAACACTGAGACAACCGAAAGTAACTAACCAAAAATAATGTATTAAAACACCGATTATTTTACATCCAATGTCGGATTTTGTACCTAATTCTACAAACTGAAACAATAATTGCGCACAAAAAATTGCAAACACTAAACACATATTGTTTTTTCCTGGAAGTGTTCTCAAACTTGGAAAAATGCAGTAAGTTAAAAATGTCAGAAATAAACAAAGAAGTGATATACAAGTGAAAACCATTGCAACTATATTCCATACATCACCAGAATTGAAGGAATTCCTACTTGCATTCAAAGTCTGCAGACGATCTATGCATATTCTAGCTTGTCTAGGTGATATCAGAATGTACTCGTCTGGTTCAATTACAGCTTTTCTTGAAATTACAGTTAATTGTAAGTTTTTCAAGTTGATATTGAATTCTGTATAGTTTAATTCGATTTGTTCACACATCAAAAGTTGAGTCACGTGTGAATGAACGTACGAATTTCCTGGGTATGACTCGGGTGTTTCTTTAGTATAACATTTATCAGTGAACTGAAATCTGGAAACTAGAGTCGGTAAATTGAAAGCATTTTCATCACGCTGAATTAAAAATGGCTGCTGGAATTCATCGTATGTAACATTAAAGGTTGATCCTAGCAATGAAACAAGTGTTTCCTCCGTCATTGAACGGTTGACAGAATCATGTATAAAAAATTTGTGATAGGCTAAGAAAAAAACCTCAATTCCTTTGTCTAATTTGTTAGGTTTACTGTCTGGACAGTATAGGTTGGAATATATGATGGAAGTTTCAAAGTCAATAAACGACAGTCTCAAGCGAGCTTTTAGAAAATCCTTGAAAGATTGACCGACTGACTCTAAGAATGGCATCGTATCATTGATATCCGAAACTAAACTAGTTTTTAATCCTGCATATAAAATGTATCCGAGGTTTGCTGTTGTTTGGAATAGAGGGGTACATCTTGTGTCGATATGCATTCTACCAGGATAACAATGTATATCACGACATTTATTCTGAAATGATCAAGTTATGGTTATGGCACGAACATTTTATATCTATCATTTTCACAATTTTTTCAAATGAAAATTCTAAAATGAAAAAAATACCCCTTCCCAAAATAGAATGAAAATAAATATATTATATATTACATAATAAAATACAGGACATAAATGTGTAGAAAAGTGAAAAAAAAAGCGAGATTCGCTAAAGGTGAAAATAATATATAATCCGTCAGAAAAATCACCCTGTACTTTCGCCCCCACCCCCACCCCCTTTTCCACTATATCAAATGCTCGTACCTTTACGTGTACAGTGATTTGTGCCTGTCCCAAATTTTTCAGGAATTTGGTGTAGATGACAGACCTTTTGATGGTCACTGTTGAATTTGTTCTCAACTAATTTGTCATGTATTCTAACATAGGGGCTATTAAGTTTTCAGGCTTGGTATATTTTAGACACTTTTCTATGGTTAAAGAACGGATTTGACCTTCATATGTGTGTTTTTAGTTGCTGTCTGATTGTCATATATCTTATTCTAAGTTTTATTTATAGGTATTCCCGTAACAGTGTTGACAACCGTAATACATGTACTTGAATCATTTACCGTTAACTTGTTTGTCATCGGCTATTTATAACAATGAATTTACGTTCCCTCAGTCTGTCAGAGGCCTTCCAATTGGGATTTGAATAGAACAAAAGAATAAAGTTCATGCATGTGGAAGAGAAGAAAAAAGAATGTTTAAGTATTCAACATTTAAATCACCACACAATGTTAAGTCCTTTGCTAGTTATTCGTTTTATTTGATTTATGCATTTAGAATCTTTGGCAACACCACAGTTTAAATTCTATAACACGTACGATGTGATATTTCAGCGTTACAGAGGAACGTTCACCTAATCTAACCCAGTCAATTGATAAACTGAGCGCGTCAAGAAATGGTCTCGTCCACACTGTTATGAAAACTATTCTATATCGTGATTAATGGGAAATATAATACTGTAAATTCAGAAATTTTTGCGTGCATTTATTATTGCGGATTTTGAAGAAAGGACAAATATGTAATTTTTAAAGTTATTACGATTTCAGGACAATCTGCATACAGTTATATCATCCGATATCAAAGTTCTTATTATTGCGATCCTCGCCCAGTCGCATTAATCGTATTAATAAAAACCTCGCAATTTTTGTTTGTTGGAATTTTCAGTGTAAAGTTTCTGTGAACGTAATCCAATAACTCTAATATTCTTGAAAATAAAGGGTAATGTACACAGTATACTTGTCTATATTTAAAATGCCTGTCATGTAGAATTTATTTTATCTGTGGTCTCAATTAAGATTTTTTTATTTTTGTTTTGGTAACTTTATAGTGTTAGTTTGTTGTAAGAGTAGTTTTGATGTAAAGGTTGCAAACATGGCAAAAATGGCAGTGTGATTCCCATCGACTAAGTTAACGTCCCTTGCAATAAGAACATGTAAGTTAAGTCATGATAAATGAGAACACGGCGTTACTTACAAGAAATAGAATCTGACTTGCGTTACAGCTGGGTGTCTGTATTTTCTGTTTTGATGATTGCTTGAAGTTGGAAAGCTCAAATATAACTCTAAATGTCGGTGGCATGAATTCTGTTATGAAGACAATATTATCAAATGTTTCGCTGTGTGTTGGAAGTATATGTGTATATGTGTCTTCTTCGTTATTACATATTTCACAAAACTTGTTTTTGTATGGTGCAAGGTATTCAATGTTTGGCAAACTCAAACAATACTCCTCTGTGTCTTTGTCATAGTTCTTCCAAAGACCTGTAGTGTTACAATCAGAATATTCCACATTGTATTTTTGTTCCGGATTACACATTGCGCAAAAGACACTCATTTTTGATTTGTAAAAATTCCTAGGCATATTTACATTCTCACAAGCAAACTTAATATCCCGGTCGCCATGCACCCAGTTCCCGGAAACATTACAGTGTTTGTCTTCTCGTTCTTCGCAGTAAACATTGGTATATTCAGATGGTTTGTATTTTACAGAACATCCGTTTTCTTGTAAAACCCGGAAATAGTCTTCGAACGACAAAAAGAAAAATGGCGGCAAATACACATTACAACTAATATGTAAGTCCCACATGGAAATAGAATTTAAAACTTGTGAATCGGACTGATTAAGTCCGTCACTACACAAAGCACAGTATATGTTTTTAAAGTGTGTATAACTTTTATCAATTTGAATTTCTATTGGCAGAAAAGTAAAGAATTTTGTGATATTACTCATACTACACAACGTTTCCAACCACCTGCTCATGGATTTAGTGCATGTATCAAAAACTAAATATCCGTTTTTCTGATCAGAATATTGTTGATCAGTACATGTAGTCGACTTTTGAAAGTATTTGTCTACACAACATCCAGATTGAAAATAGCAACTATCGCTGCAATCGCAATCGGACAATCTCGAGAAAAATGAATAATTGTGACAAAACACAGGAGAACCAGTAAATGCAAAATATTGTAGCATTATACTTGTTTTGTTCAAATCGTAGAAGTCTTTATCTTGAATTATTTTAGTTTTTTTCGTTGCTAAAGTTTCAAGGTTGGTATCTTTTAAGTACTTCGTTCCACTCTCAATAATCGATTCAAGGTTTAAATCCAAACTTTTTAACTGAAGCACGAATTCATTTTGATTTTCCATTTTTTCTACAATAAAATAAACTAGTTCCTTAAAATGCATGTTGTGTGTTCTATTTCTGTCATTTGAATTACATAAATAGCAGTAAATATTTTTGAATGGTGTTGTTAAGGGACTTTGTATGTTATTAAAGCATGCCTTTTCTAATTCAGCACTGAAAACTTCCCACAAACCTGTCGCATTACATTTCGAGATAACTTCATCTATAGCTACATCATTGGGCGGATTACAAAGTTGGCAAAATATATTTTTGAAAAAATGAAATCTATTTTCATAAATTCGGCATGCAAAATCTATATCAGCATCATATTTTTTCCATGTTCCTGAAACATTACATTTACTTATCATAGCCTTATCCAACATAGATTTATCTTCGCATATGTTAATATGAAGTCCATATATGTCAGCGCTTGAATAAAAAATGTCACATTTCTTCTCTTCGGCATAGTCGAATATTTCAGAATAAGTAGACAGAAAGTTGAAATCAGCAAACTCTGCACACTTTATTTCTATTTTCCATTGATGTATATCTTGGAATGACTCGTTATGGCACACTGAACAATGAATATTTCTGTAAGTCAGTCCGCTTTTGTGTGAATAAACGGGAGTGTTTTGAAATTTTTGAAGGAGGCTAGTTGACATTTCGCATTTCCTTTTTGTGGTATTGTCCGAGGACACAGGACAATGACTGATCATTGCTATTGATGTTTTGTTAGAATAAGGGTTAAAGTCCAAGAGGCTTGCTTCTATACACGAAAGAGGAAAACGAAAGTAGTGATCTGGGCAACAATTCTTGTAAATTATACATGTATCGTCACAGATGCATTCTGGGCAATATTCTCTAACTATTTCATTAGTGGAATCAAACCTTTGTGGACCACAAACTTTATTCCCACATCTTGCTCTATATGCATCCATAATATACGAAAGTTCTAAGCAATACACGGAGACGACAGCATATATCGATATCAACTGTAACTTAGTGGTTTGATGGAAACAATTCATTCTAAATCTGAAAAAAATGAAGAAAAGATAGTTGAACATACCAAAATATTATGATACGCTCTACATGGTGACTTGGATAAGCATTGGTGGATACAGATCTTACTCCCGATATCCTTCTTTTCGGGAATATAAACAAAAATTAGACTATAACGCCATTAAATGAACATATGCGTCTCTATACTCACAGAAATCGCCAAGAGTTTTGTTAAAGGACAATTCGGCTTTAGTCCTACATTTTTTCTGTCTTTATGGTGGTGTGTGTTTTAAATTTTATTTAATCGTTTAATCGGATATTGGGTAATTTTAATTCCGTACTCTTGTAACGCAATAAGATCCAGTCATCAAAATATCACAAGAAGTCAAAAGATACGCTCTTCCGGTTTCATGTTCGACCGAAAATAATATCGCTTATATGAGTTAATCAATTTCAGCAATCGAAACAATTATCGGAAAGTTACAAAATGCTCATGTAAAGGTATAACATCTGTAATATGACGCTACAATGTCACGGAGCGACACGCTAGCGTGTTCAAGGACCATGACGATTTTAAGAAAAGAAATCACATACCTTCTAATAATCTGCAAAATAAAGTTTTTTTTATTATCGAAAGGAAGTTAATGTTTGGAACCAGTTATTGGTATGATACGGGTTGTGTTATTCTCGTATGATTTATAATGACATGATACTGAACCCATAACGGCCGGAATTTTAGTTGATTTAAATATAATGCAGACATAGTCTTTAATCGGTTTAGTTCAGATCTGGAGCTGGCATTTCATTAACTGTTAGGTATCCTTTGTGAATTTCTTTTGATCATTGTCACTTTGCTTAGTTTTTTCTGTTACCATTTTCTAACATTGGACTCCGACTTCTTTTGAACTGAGTTTAACTGTGCGTGTTGTTGTGTGTTTATAGATATAGGAAGATGTGGTATGAGTGCCAATGAGACAACTCTCCATCCAAGTAACAATTTATAAAAGTAAACCATTATAGGTCAAGGTACGGCCTTCAACACGGAGCATTGGCTCACACCGAACAGCAAGCTATAAAGGGCCCCAAACAATTACTAGTGTAAAACCATTCAAACGGGAAAACCAACGGTCTAATCTATATAAAAACGAGAAACGAGAAACACGTATGAACTACATAAACAGACGACAACTACTGTACATCAGATTCCTGACTAAGGACAGGTGCAAACATTTGCAGCGGGATTAAACGTTTTAATGGTACCAAACCTTCTCCCTTTTCTGAAACAATAGTATAACATCACAACATAGAAAGACACACTATAAAATATCAATTGGAAGGTTTAACTCAATCAAAAAACGTAAATTAACACACAATGAACGAATAAATTTGATCTGTGATACCTGAATGCAAATTCATAGTTAATAAAAATTATAAGGGATAAATAATTAAGGTCAAAAGTAAATAAACAGGTTTAAACAAAGTTAAAGTATGATACCACTCTGAAATGTTGTTTATTCCACATTAAACACGTTTAGCCCTGCAGCATTTTTGCGCCTGTCCCAAGTCAGAAACATGTAACATTTGTAAGTACTGTGTTTTTTTTGTTTTTTTTTTATTTTGGTTCATTTGCATGTTTAGGAGTTTAGTGTGGCTTCCATTTTGCTGAACTAATATTCATTATATTATTTTTTATTATTATTTAGAAGCCAGTTGAAGCCCGCCTCTACGCATCTAGGTGCGGATTTTTTTTCTCGCTGCGTTGATGACCTTTTGGTGGCTGATTTCTGAACTTTGGTCGGGTTGTTGTTTCTTTAACACATTGCCCGTTGCCATTCCCTACTATATTGGAATATTTGTCATATATTAGAAAATGCAAAGTATTTTTCACCAGAAACTTTCTTATCAAACCAGAGGTTCACTGGGTGTACAAATATGGTCATCTGGAATTTTACTGTCCAGCTGTAAAACCCTTATTGTGTTGGATGTACTAATTCACAGCCATATCAAATCGGTTTTAAATCCGTGGCTTTGTGTAGGATTGGTGCCTCTTCATGTTGAACCGCCACCACCCCATCCCCCTCCATAAAACTTTTAAAGATCCTGTTAGAGTTCGCACATTTGTCCGAAGACAGCTCCATTAAACAATCTCCTGGTGTTGAAGTAAATTTTGAAATACATTATGGGTATTTTTCCCATTACTTTATTTCGCATTTCAGTATTACAGTTATTATTTCATAGTTTTTCAATCTGTTAAATTTCATCTCGTTAGGGGAGTGAGGTCTCAACGTACAATGATCATCGTTACACATTTCGTTATATAAAATAAAATGAAACTCTTTTCTCAAAACTTTAAAAGGAATTTTTTTAGATATTCTTTATATCAGCACACACAACAATTTCATTTAGAGAATAATAAATGTTCAGAGCTAATATCATTTTATAATTGAAAAAGACATTTACACCTTTGGATTCTCATTGTTAAAAAAAATCGATTGGGTTGATTCACAAAATATATTTAGAGAAAAACTGCTCACAAGGAAGCCATTAAACCAAGAGTTCCAAATGGTGAAGTTGAAATCATCCCTTCGTAAATTTTACGGACGCCATCACGAGTTGGTTGACCGTTATGGAATATCCGTTTCACAGATGATATCGGATATGTTCCTTATGTCGTAACTACAATCCGTTCCCTTTTCACGAATGTTACCGAACTAGACTATTTACCGTTTGTAATAAAATGAACAACACGAAGGGTGCACACCCTTCCGGAGCACCTGAGATCACCCCCAGTTTTTGGTGGGGTTCGTGTTGCTTAGTCTTTAGATTTCTATGTTTTGTTTGTGTACTATAATTTGTTTGTCTTTTTCTTTTTTTATAGCCATGGCGTTGTCGGTTTAATTTCGATCTATGAGTTTGAATGTCCCTCTGGTATCGTTTGCCCTTCTTTTGTGATCATTTAAGAGTAAACTTCCATTTATTCAATGCGTGGGATTTGTTTGAGAAAAGAGTTCCGGACGATATTTTTTTAACTGGATATGTTTCACATGAATCATCGTTTGAATCATTCAGTCATACATATAACTCATACTATTAGTTTGCCTTGGATATTCCAGTACTACTCAACTCAATTGCTTCTATTTATGTATACACCTATATTATATCCAATTAATTAAAAGACTTTTCTGTTTATATAATGCTTTTATGTAAAGGGGAAAACTGTTACGCGTGTGTGTGATCCTTTTTTGTTTCTTTGGCCAAAGATAGTGTGTCATAAACTAAATTGCAGTACCGTCGATAAATCATTCTTGCATCTCATGCATTTGTATACTTACAAAACATGTTTTCTTGTAACGTATTTTATTGTTGAAGAATGAATGTTGCCCGTTTTTTATTGTCCTTTGTTTTTGTCTCGTTGACATACAACCGGTTCTCTTTTTCTTTATATTTAAAAACATACAGGATGACATCAATACCAATTCATGGCACAAAATAAGAAATGAAAGAAAAAGCTCTTTCATGATTGTACTCAATGTCGGAGTCACAATTTTGTCTTTTAAAAAATGTAAATAGATAAATAAATGAATAAAAAATATTGGAAAAAGGTTAAGTTGTGTAAATTATAATAATTATTTCAACTTCAACTGAAATATTATACGCATATTTTTACTGCGATCTTAAAAAGAAAGTTGACATATAAACTGCCGTCAATTATTGTGTGGATGTAAGTTGGGCCGTTTAAAATAAAAATTAATAATTGATTCTAAAAAAGAAGAGATTAAAAAAGTAATGTAAGCATGTGCATGTATGTGCATGAAACCCCCCCCCCCCCCTTCCCCCACAAAAAACCAACATCACTTACACACACACACACTCAGAAAAGGAAGAATAGTCGGCGAACAAACAGTCTGCTACCAATGGGTTTTCACAAGTGTAGTAGTAAGCAGAAAAGTTCCAGTTTCCAAAATACACCAAACTTTACATTTTACCTATTACATGTATTTCGTGAAGTAATGCAAATTTCATAAGGCTTGGTCCAAATATCTTTTTATTGTCCAATATCTTGCAAGTACGAAAAAGACCGTACGAAAGTATATTTTGTCTATTTTTTGTAATCAATGCACAACTATTTAAAGTTGATCAATAATTATCAGTGTATATAAAGTGCGAATCCAGTTAGTTTATTTTCACTGTTGTGTACGAGTATGTCTATTGTAGAATAAAGGATGATGGGAAAAACTGCGTTTGTTTACCTTTTGAAAATACAAAATAATTGATTTGAATGTATGTTTTAACATAATTTCATTAGAATATAACTTTTTAATGTATAATAACAGGATTAAAGTCCAAAAAAGTGTAATTAAAGCAGCAGAATCCATAATATGAATTTTTGTATGCGATTCATTTTAACTATAGATGCGATGAATTATCACTGTAAGTGCAATCATTTCTGATGTAGAATTTTTGAAGGTGCGATGAATTTTCATTGTTGTTTTAAATGTTAATTCGACATGCAGTAACTGAAAACGAAAGCCTATTAGGGTCACAAAAAAAATTATTTATCTCGTAATTACGAGATAACTCGTAATAACGAGAAAACTATCGCGTAATTACGAGAAAATTATCGCGTAATTACCAGATAATTATCGCGTAATTACGAGAAAACTATCGCGTAATTACGAGATAATTATCGCATAATTACGAGAAAACTATCACGTTATTACGAGATAAAATTTTTATCTCGTAATTACGAGATGTCATCGCGTAATTACGAGAAAACAATCGCTTAATTACGAGATAAGAAGTTTTTTATCTCGTAATTACGAGATAATTATCGCGTAATTACGAGATAAAAATTTTATCTCGTAATTACGTGATAGTTTTCTCGTAATTGCGCGATAATTATCTCGTAATTTCGCGATAGTTTTCTCGTAGTTACGAG